GAAAGAAAGAAAGAAAGAAAGAAAGAAAGAAAGAAAGAAAGAAAGAAAGAAAGAAAAAAGAAAAAACAGTTGCCTGGCAGCACACACCTTTAATCCTAGCACGTGGAAGGAGAAAGCAGGAAGTTCAGGAGTTCAAGGCCACTCTGGGCTACCCCTGAGATTGAACCAGAGACAGAGCCAGGTGGTGGTGGTTCACACCTTTAATCCCAGCACTTGGGAGAATCTCCCTGATTCAGTTAGAGGATTTGTAGAGACAGGCTCCTCTCCACGCCAGTTCGGTCTGAGGTTTCATAGAGGTGAGAAGTCTAGAGCTGCTGCTCTGCTCCTCTGGACTTTCAGCCTTCACCCTGATTTCTGACTCCGGGTTTTTATTTATTAGGACCCATTAGGGTTGCGCTTCAGACTCCCACGCCTTGTCCTCTGGCAAGCACTCATCTAGGCCCACAACAAATATTTTTCTTAAATCTAAAAGTGTATTAATATTTCTGGATTCCTTGACACCATGAACTTTGGAGGCTGAAGAGAAAGCCTGGCTTCTCATTGATCTTCTGTTCCTCTCACGGTTTCCCTTGGCAAGTGGCTGTAAGGTATGGAGTGAGGAGAACTGCTTGGCTTTCATCATGATGGCATCGGCAGTGGAACAGTAACAACGATTCATTTCCTCTGAAACCTCTGACTGAGTATACTAGTTCTACATTTTTTTTAAAAAATTCATGTTTTGTTTTAAAGTAATTCCTTTACTGGTGGAAGCCAACATGATTTGCTGTTTGTTCTTGAGGTGATGTTAAGTTACAGCTTAATGCAGTATCTAACTGGTAAACAGATTTGTCGAATTATATCACAGTTCTTTGAAAGTAATATATAATCTGTTACATGTTGATATATGGTATATGTACATTAATATTCTATTTTAATGGGATGTACAATTGTTTTCTTTTAAAATAATTTTGTTATAGAGCCATAGCAGACTTCCACTGTGATTATGAATTATCATTGATTATGAAAAAGTTATGTCATTTTTTCTCTTTATTTTGAAGTTCTGTAACTAGGTGCATACACAACTGGGTGCTTTTTTTGTGTGAAGTGTTCCTTTTTATATAAGGACCACATTTTTCATAACAGAGTACTATAATGCATTCATAATAAATGGTTAAACACTATGTAGTGCTTCTCATAGACAAGCAGGAATGCTTTATAATCAACTGTTGAGTACTCTGGATAAATATCAATGTATTCTGTTATTACTCCCACTTTACCAATGAAGAAGTTAATAGGGCACACAACAGTCACTTGCCTGAGTTCTCTGGCTAATAATAGTATAGTCCTGATTTGAACATAAGACAGTCCTTATTTTAGTACTAGCCCATCTGTTGAGCGTCTTTGGGGAACTGTTGTATAGGTATTTGCTGAATTGAAATATTATCTCCTAGAGGACACAAGGATGCCCTGAATGACATCGGGAGAGGAAACTAATGAAACAGGAAACTTGTCAAACAGGACTCAAAATGTTCAGGGGCCATCCCCCAGGTTATGAATAGTAAATAATTGCTGCTGTATGTGTGGAGCTGCCAGTAAATTGGGAGGGGAACCCCAAGGATGCAGCAGCTTCTTTTCATGTAGGGATGGGGTTTTGGTGTTGCAGCTACCTCTGAGGCATCCCTACCCCTTCAAGTGACTTTGAGAAATTCGTTGGTTTGCCAAGCCAGGCTTGATGGAATTTTTTCCCTTAATTTGGCTCTCGCACCCTATCTGGGGAGTAGCCATTTGTTTACATCTCCACAGAAAGTCATACAGCGTGAAAAAGGCACTCATACAGGGGCACTCATACAGGGACGGACAGAATCAAAGTTCTCTCTGGGAGGATTAGCTGCATGAGCTCGATGGTATTTAAGATGTACTCCTGAAGCCAATCTTTGTGAGCATGGAGTTTGAGGGGCAGTGCTGATACAGGCCTTCCCATGGGGTAGAAGATAGTGTGCCTCCTTTGCTCTAGTGGTAATTCCATGCTGTCTGATACGAATGATAAGACATGCAACCAAGACTGAGCCATCTGAAAGTGGAGTATCTTTGGGAAGAAACCCAGGGTGACTGAACATTATTTCTGTTGCTGTGATAAAACGCTGACCAAAAGCTACTTAAGAAAGAATAAGATTTATTTTATCTTACTCTTGGAAGTTGGGGTAAGAACTCAAGGCAGAAACCAAAGAGGAATGCTTCTTGCTTCCTTGCGCACTCTCTGGCTTGATTATCTGCTTTACCAGCTCATATAAAACTCACTTGTCTGTGTGCCACACTCAGAGTAGGCTGGGCCTTCTGCACCAGTTAAGATATTTCCCAACAGGCCAATGTGATTTAGGCAGTTCCTCAATTGAAGTTCTCAGGTCTGAGAACTGTTGAGTTTGTAAAGTTGCCAGTTAACACTAATTGGAATAGCCTCTCTCTGCATGGAGTGGGGTGGCACACCTTCCCGGAGTCCACTGCAAGAGTCTGGGAAACTAGTAACAATGTGAACGGACTAGAGAACATACAACAGTTCCCAGAAGTGGCACTGTGGGCCCAGATTGTAAGCAGGTTATGGCAGTTGTGTGCGCTTTCCTGTGGGTGGTGAAAGGCAACAGGCTCCACTGCCTGCCCATAGTGAACTTGTCCTTGTGACAGAATCACGGGGAGAAAAGCATGAGACTACTGCCTGTTACTGGTGTGCTCTTAGCAGGAAATTGTGGAAATGAGAGCGCTGAAATACAGGTGTGACTGCTATTATAGCAGGCTGGATCCAAGGGGGGAAAGGCAGCTTATTAGACCTGTGCTGAAGACGCTTTCCTGGGATCACAGAAGTTGGCGTCCGTGAAAAGAATTGAACAGGAAGGAAAGGAAAGTAGAAGTGATAGAAGATATCCTACCTGGCTGGCCTTTAATATAGAAGAAAATTTGTACTGCCATGCAGATGGGTGTCTTGGTTATCTCAAACAGAAAACTACATCTGAACTGCTTGAATTAGGGAAGACTTTTAAACAAGAAATGAAAGACCCCCTGGAAGCCTAGCATGTGCTATTGTGATAGAGATGGAACATCAGTCTAAGTGGGAAGTGGAGAAACTGAGTTGGCATAGCCCATCCACTCATTCTTCTTTGACCTGGTAGCTTCGTAATCTAAGGGAATACAGAAAAAGAAAAAATAAGTCCCACCTAGGCTGACTCATGAGTCACTGGGGTGCTTGAGCTTTCACTAAAGTCCTCATGAGTGTTAGGACTCATGAAATAATGGACGACAAATGGGACAGATTTAACAAGATGGCTTAGGGGTGTGGGCTATTGCTTTGCAGGCCTGATGACCAGAGTTTGATTCCCAGAACCCACCATAGAAGCAGAGACCTGACTACCCAGAGTCATCCTGTGACCTTTACCTGTTCACCCTGGCGCACATACACCTGTACTCACACTTCACACACTCTAATAATACTTTTTAATTAAGGAAAATTAATATTGATAAATTTAAGAACAGGCCTTTAAAGAACAAGCCTTCTGAGAGTCTTCCTGTCAGGAACAAATAATCTGTGTCACACGGAAGACATAGCAGCAAAGCAAGGGGCTCAGGAGAGAATTCTTTCCGTAGAAAAGATGCACAGAGCCCAAACCTGACTACCCAGCCCACTTATCCCTAATGATAATGCTGACTGCATCCTATCCCATTGGTGGGAGTTCAGCTTCATAATCGGATGTGTTTGGCTAATTGGTGAGAAGGGTAGGTGTTGCATCCAGTGTGGGTTCACGCAGATCTCAGGAAAGAAGAAACAGGGCACTCCAGTGCTCGGCTTCTTGAGCCTCCTAATTCCCCAGGGAAAGGTAAGTGCACTATGCACCCATTCTGCAGGCCCACGACACAGGACAGTCAGACGCAATAGGGAGTTGAGTCAAAGCAGGAACTCAGTTTATTACATCCGCTTATAAAGGTTAAGCAACATCCTGTGCTGTAAGAGTACCTCCAGCCAAACCTCCCCCTGGCTGGAGGAGCATCTACCGGGTACAGGCCCCGAGATAATTTTGGCTCAGCACTCCAGGATGATTTTTACCCTTTCCAGTT